AGTTTAAATTTAAGTAATATGTGAAATTGTTTATTTTTAATAAACAAGAGAATAATAAGGATAGTAAAAATAGTTGGAATTTAATCCAGAGATTTTTGGAAACAATTTGTTTTAAAATACAAATTGGATGCGGGGAAAATTACACATTAATTACACATTAATTTTCAATTAATGTTTCATGATGCCTATCAATAAGATAGATATCTGGTAAAAAAATAAAAATAAAAACTCCCGCTTTCTCTTGGCATCCCTGTGACTGAACATTACAGGCCGGTAAAAATCCGACTGGGTTGCATTAATCTGGATCGCATCGGGGCGCATGGAGGGAGGATAACGGTTCCCTCCATGCAAATATCCAGCAGTTTTCTCAGCATGCAGCGCTGAGTAAAAACATCTGCACACAAACCAACTGCTTCTTATTATTTATATCAAGCAAAATAAGCCGCAGGTTCCGATAAAAAAAAAGAAGAAAAAAACCGGACGCTTTAACGAGATAAACGTTCTTAACAGACGAATTAAAATCATCCTAACCTTTTCTCTCTCTCTCTCTTAATATGTTCAACATAAACAGGATGAAGATGCATCATCTACTGAAAGTGGAGAAAAGAAAAGCGCTCGGCAGCACTGCGCTTTGTGACCTACAGCGATAATTTAGGATGACCTGAGGGAGGAGGAGGAGGAGGAGGAAGAAGAGGAGGGGAATATGAGAGATGAAGCGGCCTCACTCCGTAACGGAAACATTCCCTGTGAACTCTCTATTTTTACATCTCAGAATGCGTCTTTAATTGCTGTTTTTGTTTGTCATGGCTCTAAAAATAACGCTGGTTGATTCATGCTGCAGATTTGAATTTGGGTTATTTCTGCACTCGTTCGTGTTGAACATTTAACATCTGATTTCTTGTGTTTTCATCTGATAGTCCTGAAAAAATATCTCGTTTTAAATGGGATATCACAATATTTAATATAAGTGGCTAAGTGGCGTAATACACAACAATAATAATAATAATAATAATAATAATAATAATAATAATAGGTAATAAATATTTCATCACCTATTTCTGTGCCTTGCATTCTACCATTTAAACTTTTAATTAACATCCTTAATGCATTGGGAATTTTAGGTGGCAGGTCACATATAGTGGCTGCACGGTGGCACAGTTGGTAGAGCTGTTGCCTTGCAGCAAGAAGGTTCTGGGTTCGGTCTTTCTGCATGGAGTTTGCATGTTATCCCTGTGCATCCGTGGATTTTCTCCTGGTACTCTGGTTTCCTCCCACAGTCCAAAAACATGTCTGTCAGGTTAATTGGCCTCTCCAAATTGCCCCTAGGTGTGCGTGCATGGTTGTTTGTCCTGTGTGTCTCTGTGTTGCCCTGCGACAGACTGGCAACCTGTCCAGTGTGTACCCCGCCTCTCAAATGGAATGTTAGCTGGAGATAGGCACCAGCAACCCCACTAAGGTGTAAAGAAAATGGATGGATGAGGTCACATATACTTATGAAGAGAAGTAAACATGATACATAATTTGCTTTAAATAAAAATCTAAAAAGGGTGTTATGGGTTTGTATTCAGATTCCTTTGACCCAG